AACTTCCACATCTTTCACTTCCAGCCTTCCATTGGTGACTCCACCGGCTCCAGCAGTCGTTTCCCTGCTGCCCATGCGGCAGCACCCGTGGCAACACAGCTGGCACCGTCCAAGCCGAAGCGCAGTGGAAGGTCTCCAGCGACCTCTTTGACCTTCAGCCACTGGTTGACTGTAGCAATACTGTAGCAACCCCAAGAAAATAGAAAAGTATAGAAAAGTCCTCTACCATCATGTGCCATTCTTTGCCACGGTCACTATCTGAGGTTTGTAATGTCATTTCCATGTCTATCTTTTCAGGGGTTGCTACTGCTGGTGGGTTGGTTAGTGGTTTGGAATGGCTAGGAATCCCGGAAAAGAGTAAAAGGAATGTAAAGGGGACAAGCTGAGTAATTCTGATCAGCACTATAGAGCCTCCTCAGGAATCCAAGCCACCGATCCAAACCACCAACATTCAACCGTCAACGACCGTCAACACTTCAACTCGATACAGAGACTGCTCTGCATCTGTAGAGGATCAAAATCATTGAGCCCTGAAAAGCGATGATGTGGTTCGGAAAACAACAGATTGTCTGGACCCCTTAGTACCCCCGCCTCTGGCCCTTCCCCACATGGTGATATGACAACAACATGTCCAATTCAGGTGACATGCCATGATGTTTTGACGGGCAAACATGAGTTCATACGGTTCATACGAGTTCAATGCTCCACAGCAAAGCTCGCCAATGCCTGCACCATGCCATGGACTCAAAGATTTCAAGCCCAAGGAACCCGAGTTTGGACTGCAGGGATGCGGCTTCCACCACCCAAAAGTTCGAAAGCCTCTGGCTTGCAGTCTAAGGCTTCAGTCAGCACCTGCAAGGGTTGCCAAGATTCCCAAGGTAAGATTTGCTGAGGAATCGTACTCACAATGCAAACAACAACAACAAAACAACAACAAACAACAACGACCTATTTCATCAGCAGCAATTCTCCTCACGCCTCCTTCAAACGTTTCAGCACATCAGCAGCTGCTGTCTCAAAGATCTGTCGCGTCAGTGGCACCGACACATCGATCTCTGGGCCATCAGGACCCTCTGGCAAATATGCTTCCTGGGCGCACAGCATCTCGCGCAACGCATCAAAGATTTGGGTGTCAAGTCAATCAGAGAGGTGTATGCCACAGTGTTCAACCCTTCCATGCTGCCACGTTCACTCCATGTCCAAGCCATTCCAACCCCATGTCTTGCCGTGGTGCCAGGCCCATTTCGGCATCTGGCAACATGCTCAGCTGCTTCAAAGCATGCATTGCTTCATTGGCCAGGCGAACTCCAGACTTCGTTTTGAGCTGGACCTGGTAGCAATCTTCCCGGAAATGGTTGCCACTGGTCACAGCAAAAATAACATTCATTCATCGAGTTCACTCAGCCTTTTGGGATTACCTCTTCCTACCTTTCCATGTTTTTCTCGCTACTTTTTGATGGTCGGGCGCATCTCGAACATTGAACCTCAGCTGGGCCTTGCATTTGTGCTTCTGCTCAATCCGGGAGATTGCTTCCGAAAGAAGAAGCGTGACCATCGACTGGACACCTAGCTGTTCCTCACTGCAGCGGTAAAGGAACTCTGCTGCAGCTTCGCCCTCCTGCAGAGACACTGAGGCAAGTCAAACCGACATGGGATGCACAGGGCCAAAACCTCAACAATTCCCATCTGCGTCAATCATCTAAAAAGTCTAAGAGGATCAGCAATTCCTCAGGTCCTATCTATCAAATTCAATGCAGCTCCTTGCGGTAAAACTTCACCACTGAGACTGTGCCATGAGACGACCCGATATCCACAAAGCCGACGCAGCGCTCGTCTGTGCCGTCTGGGAGGAGGCTCGAACCTGCTCAACGCGGCCCAAGATCAACAAGCAACACGCTTTTTAAGATCTTTTCAGGAGAAACATCCTGTTGTTTTTCTGCGGGCCTTGGCTGTGTGCAAAAGCCGTGGCCACTGCAGAGGAATGCCGGAGGAGACCGACAGTTTCAGACTGATCACAAAGCTTCAGTGCATCATTGACAACTGCAAGCTCCGTATCGCTGTAGTAGTCTGGAACAGCTATGCACCTTAGGTGAGTTGAAAGGGCTGGTCTTCATCTTGCCAAGGACATTGTCCCCTTGTTTTCGAGTTGCTCGGCACAATCTCTCCCAGCATGAGGATACATCTCGCAACTCTTCATGACACCAAAACCATCTTCAATCATCCAGAAGATGCCGCACTTTTACATGCCAAAACGAATACATACGAGCACCCTGGAAACTAAGCTGCACCCCAAAAGCTGATCATTTCCATCCATTTCCAACAGGGACATCCTCTTCAAGACTCCATTTTACAAGGGACTACCACTAGCATCTGATTTTCCATGATTTTCAGGTGCCTTGCCCCTTGGCCAAAGTGCATCTGGGTCTTGGCTGCTGCTGATGTCATGGCGTAGCTGCTGAGAGTTCGCACCAAGGACGCCAAAGGCCCTGCCGGGCGCACCGCGAAGCTGTCGCCATCGAAGCTCACGGGGCCCAGAGTCCCATCCTGGTGCAAGATGCACAGATCTTCAAACAGTGTCTAAACGCGCGTGTTTAAAAAAGCCATATGAGTCATGTCCACCCCTACCTAAATACACGTGCCCGTGGATTTCTTTGCTTGGTCTCTCTGATCTGATTTGTATTCATCAAAACTATTTTATAGTAATTATATCCTTTAGCACTCATGAGTACTCCACTAATCTGGAGGTCCAGTTGAAGATTTGAAGGGGTCAAGGCCAGCAAAGCGGCCTCTTGGAATGGAAAGAGGAACTGGTACTTTTCAGCTCGCTTTTGCATTGCCTCCGATGGCACAAGAGCCAAAGGCAAATGTGAGAGTGTCTGCTTCGGCGCACTCATTAGTCGTCCCTCGGCATTGACCTCAATGCGACGATAACCGGGGCCTGTACTTTCACTAAAGTTAGAGATTTAGAATGACTACCTCCTAAAGGGTCTCCAGAGTACTAATCCAAGGGTCCTTACTTCTTCAAGGTACCTTTATTAATTTGCTCGGCGGCACTTCCCCCCACCTAGATGTAATATATAAATGGTTTTCTTCCCACCACCTAAATTAATTTTAGGCAAAAAGAATTCAAGAGTGGGGGAACTACCATTTTTTCTTGGGTTAAGGGGACCCCAAATAATTTCCTACTAATTATGTAATTGGGGTGTGGAACAGAGAAACATGCAATTTATTTCTCATATCGCCAACCATTGTTTTCCTTCCTTCCATCTTGCGTGGACACGCGTAAAATTAACTTCAGAGGGGGAACACGAAAGGTAGGTAAGCAAGAAAGGAACCGAAGAAAAAATGAAGGGGAGAGGGCAGGGAAAAAAACATAAAGTGGAGTCTGGTAAAAAGCGACGCGGCCAATTTCTTTCCAAAAATATGAAGGGGAGTCTGGTAAAAGCGACTGAAAGGCTTCGGCGATGTGGTTGGGGTTGGTGGCGGTTGTGGTGTTGGTGGTGTTGGTGGTGCTGGTGGTGTTGGTGTTGTTGGTGTTGTTGGTATTGGTGTTGTTGGTGTTGTTGGTGGTGGTAGTGTTTCTGGTGTTGTTAGTGTTGTTAGTGTTGTTGGTGTGGTTGGGTTTGTTGGTGGTGTTGGTGTTGTTGGTCGTGTTGTTGGTGTTGGTATTGTTTGTGTTCCTGTTGTTGTCGTTGTTGTTGTTGTTGTTGCTGTTGTTGCTGCTGCTGCTGATGGTGTTGTTGTTGTTGTTGCTGCTGCTGCTGCTGATGGTGTTGTTGTTGTTGTTGTTGTTGTGGTTGTGGTTGTGGTTGTGTGTTGTTGTGTGTTGTTGTGTGTTGTTGTGTGTTGTTGTGTGTTGTTGTGTGTTGTTGTGTGTTGTTGTGTGTTGTTGTGTGTTGTTGTGTGTTGTTGTGTGTTGTTGTGTGTTGTTGTGTGTTGTGGTGTGTTGTGGTGTTGTTGTGTGTTGTTGTGTGTTCTTGTGTGTTCTTGTGTGTTCTTGTGTGTGTGTTGTGGTGTGTTGTGGTGTGTTGTTGTGTGTGGTTTGTGTTGTTGTGTGTGTTGTTGTGTGTTGTTGTGTGTTGTTGTGTGTTGTTGTGTGTTGTTGTGTGTTGTTGTGTTTTTTTGTGTTGTTGTGTGTTGTTGTGTGTTGTTGTGTGTGTTGTTGTGTGTTGTTGTGTGTTGTTGTGTGTTGTTGTGTGTTGTTGTTGTTGTTGTTGTTGTTGTTGTTGTTGTTGTTGTTGTTGTTGTTGTTGTTGTTGTTGTTGTTGTTGTGTGGTGGCGTTTTGTACCGGGGGGCCGGGGGGGGGTGGGGGGGGGGGGGGGGGGGGGGAGGGGTGGGAAAGGAGGGGGGGGGGGGTAGGGGGGGGGGTCGGGGGGGGGGGGGGGGGGGGGGCGAAGGGGTCGGGGGACTGGAGGGAGGTGGGGGGGGGGGGGTGGGGGGGGGGGGGGCGGGTGGGGGGGGGGAGGGGGAGGCGTAGGCCGGTATGGGTGACTGGGGGATTAGTGGAACGCTACGTGCCTGGGCTCGTGTTTGTGGTTCGACTGCGGCTCCTGTATTGTCCTCCCAGGTAAGTAGGGTTGGAAGGACCGAGCGAACGGGGTGGAAGTGTGTTGTGTGGTGTGTGTTGTGTGTTGTGTGTTGTGTGTTGTGTGTTGTGTGTTGTGTGTTGTGTGTTGTGTGTTGTGTGTTGTGTGTTGTGTGTTGTGTGTTGTGTGTTGTGGTGTTGTGGTGTTGTGGTGTGGTGGTGTTGTGGTGTGGTGGTGTGGTGGTGTGGTGGTGTGGTGGTGTGGTGGTGTGGTGTTGTGGTGGTGTGGTGTTGTGGTGTTGTGGTGTTGTGGTGTTGTGGTGTTGTGGTGTTGTGGTGTTGTGGTGT